TTTCAAGGGGAGTGCTTCCAGTTTTTGCCCATTCAGTATGATATTTGCTGTTGGTTTGTCGTAAATAGCTTTTAGTATTTTGAGACACGTTCCGTTAATACCTAGCTTATTGAGGGTTTTTAGCATAAAGGGCTGTTGAATTTTGTCAAAGGCCTTCTCTGCATCAATTGAGATAATCATGTGGTTTTTGTCTTTGGTTCTGTTTATATGGTGAATTACGTTTATAGGCTTGCATATATTGAACCAGCCTTGCATCCCCAGGTTGAAGCCTACTTGATCATGGTGGATGAGCTTTTTGATGTGCTGTTGCAATCGGCTTGTCAGTATTTTATTGAAGATTTTTGCATCTATGTTCATCATGGATATTGGCCTGAAGTTTTCTTTTCTTTTTGAGTCTCTGCTGAGTTTTGGAATCAGGATGATGTTGGTCTCATAAAATGATTTGGGAAGAATTCCCTCTTTTTGTATTGTTTGGAATAGTTTCACAAGGAATGGTACCAGCTCCTCTTTGTATGTCTGGTAGAATTTGGCTGTGAACCTGTCTGGCCCTGACCTTTCTTTGGGTGGTAAGCTCTTAATTGCTGCCTCAACTTCAGACCTTGTTATGGGTCTGTTCAGGGTTTCGGCTTCTTCCTGATTTATGCTTCGGTGGAGACCAGTGTCCAGGAATTTATCCATTACTTCCAGGCTTACTAGTTTATGTGTATAGAGTTGTTTGTAATAATCTCTGATGATGGTTTCAATTTCTGTGGAATCTGTGGTGATACCCCCTTTATCTTTTTTTATTGCATCAATTTGGTTATTCTCTCTTTTCTTTTTTATTAATCTGGCTAGTGGTCTGTCTATTTTGTTGATCTTTTCAAAAAACCAGCTCCTGGATTTATTGATTTTTTGAAGGGTTTTTTGTGTCTCTATCTCCTTCAGTTCTGCTCTGATCTTAGCTATTTCTTGCTTCTGCTAGACTTTGAATTTTTTTGATCTTGCTCCTCTAGCTCTTTCAGTTTTGATGATAGGGTGTGAATTTTTGATCTCTCCTTGCTTCTCATGTGGGCACTTATTGCTATATATTTTCCTCTAGAGACTGCTTTAAATGTGTCCCAGAGATTCTGGTAAGTTGTGTCTACATTCTCGTTGGTTTTGAAGAACATGTTTATTTCTGTCTTCATTTCATTGTTTATCCAGTCATCATTCAAGTGCAAGTTGTTCAGTTTCCATGAAGCTGTGTGGTTATGGGTTAGCTTTTGAATTCTGAGTTCTATGTTGATTGCACTGTGACCTGTGAGACTGTTCGTTATGATTTCCGTTCTTTTGCATTTGCTGAAGAGTGATTTACTCCCAATTATGTGGTCAGTTTTAGAGTAGGTGTGATGTGGTGCTGAGAAGAATGTATATTCTGTGGATTTGTGGTGGAGAGTTCTGTAAATGTCTATTAGGTTTGCTTGGTCCAGGTCTGAGTTCAAGTCCTGGATATCCTTGTTAATTTTCTGTCTGGTTGGTCTGTCTAATGTTGACAATGGGGTGTTAAAGTCTCCAACTATAATTGTGTGGGAGTCTAAGGCACTTTGTAAGTCATTAAGAACTTACCTTATGTATCTGGGTGCTCCTGTATTGGGTGTGTATATATTTAGGGTCGTTAGCTCTTCTTGTTGCATTGATCCTTTTACCATTATGTAGTGTCTTTCTTTGTCTCTTATGATCTTTGTTGCTTTAAAGTCTAATTTATCAGAGATGAGAATTGCAACTCCTGCTCTTTTTTGATCTCCATTTGCTTGGTAAATCTTCCTCCATCCCTTTATTTTGAGCCTTTTTGTATCCTTGCATGTGTGATGTGTTTCCTGGATACAGCACACCGATGGGTTTTGGCTTTTTATCCAATTTGCCAGTCTGTGTCTTTTGATTGGGGCATTTAGTCCATTTACATTTAGGGTTAATATTGTTATGTGTGGATTTGATACTGCCATTTTGGTGCTAGCTGGCTGTTTTGCCCATTAGTTGATGCAGATTCTTCATTGTGTTGATACTCTTTACCATTTGGCATGTTTTTGGAGTGGCTGGTACTGGTTGTCCCTTTATATATGTAAAGCCTCTTTCAGGAGCTCTTTTAAAGCTTGCTTGGTGGTGACGAAATCTCTGAGTACTTGCATGTTCACAAAGAATTTTATTTTTCCTTCACTTTTGAAGCTTAGTTTGGCTGGATAGAAGATTCTGGGTTGAAAGTTCTTTTCTTTAAGGATGTTGAATATTGGCCCCCACTCTCTTCTGGCTTGTAGGGTTTCTGCTGAGAGATCTGCTGTGAGTCTGATGGGCTTCCCTTTGTGGGTAACCTCACCTTTCTCTCTGGCTGCCCTTAGTATTTTCTCCTTCATTTCAACCCTGGTGAATCTGACGATTATGTTCCTTGGGGTTGCTCTTCTTGAGGAATATCTTTGTGGTGTTCTCTGTATTTCCTGGACTTGGATGTTTGTCTGCCTCGCTAGGTTGGGGAAGTTTTCCTGGATAATATCCTGAAGAGTATTTTCCAGCTTGGATTCATTCTCTTCGTTGAATTCAGGTACGCCTATCAAATGTAGATTAGGTCTTTTCACATAGTCCCACATTTCTTGGAGACTTTGTTCATTCCTTTTTATTCTTTTTTCTCTATTCTTTATTTTTTATTCTTTATTCTCTATTCTCTATTCTCAATTCTTTATTCTTGCCTTCCCGCTTTTATTTCATTGAGTTGGTCTTCAACCTCTGATATCCTTCCTTCTGCTTGGTCAATTCGGCTGTTGATACTTGTGCATGCTTCGCAAAGTTCTCGTGTTATGTTTTTCAGCTCCATCAATTCATTTATATTCCTTTCTATTTTGTCCATTCTCGTTAGCATTTCGTCAAATCTTTTTTCAACGTTCTTAGTTTCTTTGCATTGGGTTAGAACATGTTCTTTTAGTTCACAGAAGTTTCTTACTACCCACCTTCTGAAGTGTGATTCTGTCACTTCATCACACTCGTTCTCCATCCAACCTTGTTCCCTTCCTGGTGAGGAGTTGTGAACCCTTGTAGCAAGATAGGTGTTCTGGTTTCAGGTGTTTTCATCCTTTTTGCACTGATTTCTTCCCATCTTTATGGATTTATCCACCTGTCGTCTTTGTAGTTGCTTGCTTTCAGATTGGGTCTCTGAGTGGATGTTCTGTTTGTTGATAATGAGGTTTTTTCTGTTTCTTGGTTTTCCTTCTGACAGTCTGGATTCTCTGCTGTAGGTCTGCTGAGGTCCGAGGCCCTGGTTGCCTGGAGATCACCTGCAGCAGCTGCTGAACAGTAGGGGTTTTTGCCAGTTTTCTTCTTCTGCTATCTTTGTCCCAGAAGGATACCCGCCAAGTGTCAATCTGATCTCTCCTTTATGTGGTGGCTCTTTGGATATACAGGGGTCAGGAAGCTGCTTGAGGAGACGGTCTCTTCTTTATAGGAGCTCAAATGCTGAGCTGTGAACTCCGTTGTTCATTCAGAGTTGCTGGGCAGGTACGTTTAGGTCTGCTGCAGCAGAACTCATAAACCGCTTTTTGTTCCTAGGTGCTCTGTCCCAGGGATTTAGGGCTTTATGAGTTTCTGTTATGCTGCTGCCTTCTTTTATTTTCCTTCAGAGCTGCCCTGCCCAGCAAGTGGCGGCCTAGTCACTGTCTGTCTGTAGAGACTTTGCTGAGCTGCTTTGGGCTCTGCCCAGCTGCCGAGTGAGCTTCCCTGCAGTCCTATTTATATGGGTGTAGTTAGAGCTGCCTTGGCCATGGTGGCCTGCCTCTGTTAGGGCGGAGCCTCTCTGCAGTGGCGGGTTGCTTTGGCAACAGCGGGCTGCCTCAGCAATGGTAGGTTGCCTTGGCAACAGTGGGCTGCCTCCACATTGTCTACTCCTCCCTAGTGGTGGGCTGCCTGGGTAATGGCAGACGCCTGTCCCCCACAGAGCAGGACCTTCCCGGTTTCAGCTGTGCTTGCTGTGAAACTCTCAATCCAGAGAGTTTCTGATTGCTGTTTTTTTGTCGGGGTGGGAACAGCCGAGCCTGATCGCCTGTCTCCCTGCCTCAGAGCCTTTCTTTTTTTTTTTTTTTTTAAGTTGATGTTCCAGTCACCTGTTGAAGAGGCGCCGGAGCCTGTGTTTTTCCTGGTGACTTACTGCGCTGGCTTAAACAGCGTCACTGAGATTTGTGGTGCTTTTTTGCCCTGGAATCTACTGTCCTGGTTCCCTGCTCAGTCCCCTTTTTAAACAGATGAATGGGCGACTTCCCGGCCTCCAATCGCCAGCCGAAAGGGCACCCGGACCGGTGTATTTTGTGTGGAGAACCGCTGCTCCGGGGCGCCGACAAAGCAGCTGTGCGGGGCAGAGCAGAGGCGCCCGCCGGCCCGGCCACGCTGGCCGAAACAGGCACGCTTGCGACCCATGGAGCTCCTCCGCCTGGGAATTGCCTTGTCTGTGGGCAAAAAAAATGCGGTGTCCACCCACCCTCTGTGCGTTTCCTGGGCGCTGCAATCTTGAGCTGTTCCTAAACGGCCTTTCTTGGATCCGAACCTCCTTGCCATATTTTATAAAGAAGAATATTAAAGTCTAATGAATCTGTCAACATGCTTATAAAAAATAATGTGAATTTAATCAGTTAACTCTAAATGATCTGTCCTCATTGAGGACTAATTTTGACTGTGTGATACATTTAAATAGTAATTTTTAACTTATAAATTTACTGGATAGCTTATAGTATTCTTTTCCATAACAGTTGTTGAAGTTACCAGTAACAGAATCTTTTTGACTGGAAGATGTTCTTTTCTCACTATTTTTCAAGTATATATGTAGTTTGGAAGAGAGTAATAAATTAAAGAGAGTAATAAATTAAATACTTGAGAACTAGAAAGGAAAAAAATATTCAAGAATATAGGAATTTTATTGGAATAATAAATCAATATAGGAAGAGGTAGACCTTAAAGTGAATTCTATTTTCTAACAAAATGTATTTTAAGATAAGCATATTTAATGGCAGGTTTAATTTAAAACAAGAAGAAAAGAAGAGAAGAAATGTCTATATGTTAAACGAAAACATTAGGGAAGAAGTAGAAAGAATCGAGCAACTTAGGAAAGAGTTAGAAGTGAAACAACAAATTGAAATGGCTCACGGAATGCAAGACATGGAATTGAAGCCTCTAAGAAGTAATTTCAATCAGGTATATCAATCTCTGGCAAAAAACTTATATTTCTAACTTTATTTCATCTATATTACTTTTAATATCCCTCTGATTTAGTATGTATTATTTAGGTCTAAATCTAACAAAAAAAAGTTGTCTTAAAAGTAACTATGACATTTATAGCTACAGTTATTTATTATAAATTATGGCATCCAAGTGGTATCTTATTTCAGTACAAAGAACTTTTGAAAACAATGATAATCCATACCATATACTTAGTGGTAATTTATTGATAAGTATTTTGTTCCTAGCAACATAGTTTAGTGTAGTTTTCCTAGTTAACGTTTAATACTGACTCAAACATTATCAAGGGGAAACAGAAGTTATTGCTATAGTAAATAAGCTCATGGTTTTCTAAGTAGAGCTCTCTACATTTTATCTTCTTTACCACTTCTGTTTTGAAATAGAATACTTCTTTTTATTTATATCTTTATCCAGTAGAATTAAGTGTGATTTGGTGGAGAAGTATTGTAGACTCAGGAGATATAGACTCAGAAGACCTGGAGAAAATCCTACAGCTTGTTTATATTTTAATCTTTTCATTTCAGAATTGTGAAAACTAAATGGGTTCATTGATGTGTGTATGTAAAAGTGCTTGGTACCTACAATATCTGAATTTATCAAACATTCAAGAATATAATTTTTAAAATTAACTATAGTTTCTTTTAATAGAATATCTATAGAACATTCTCAGGAAAAGGAACTGAAAGAGCTTCAAGAATTTTTTTCTGTCTAAATATATGCAGCACTAATGCTGTTAGTATGAGGTATTATATAGGTTAGACAGAGTGTAAATCCAATTTCTTAGTAGTCACATTGATTTGATCTTTTTTTATTTTATGCTTTTGAGTTTGTTGTAATTCAGGGAAAGTTTTTTTCAATTCCGAGGCTCTTAAAAATTATCTTGTCATTTATGTTTTACATTCATGAATTCATTGTCTTCAAATAAATGTTTGACCTTTGGGGAATGTATGCTCTATAGCGTGGGAAGTTTTGATTCAATGGTTCTGCAAATAATAGCTATTCATGGAAACCCTTTCATTGTGTAAATGTGCAAGTTATTCTCTAATTTCAGAGGAACCATGATATGCCATTTATGGGGTGCTAGCTAAAAGTTTATTTTGTTTTATTTAGGTTTCTCACACTCATGAAAATGAATATGATCTCTTACTCGAAAATTGCATGCTTGAAAAGGAAATTGCCATGCTAAAACTGGAAAGAGACACACTAAGACATCTGAAGCAGGAAAAGGAAAATAAATACTTTGAGGACATGAAGATTTTAAAAGAAAAGAATGCTGAACTTCAGATGACCTTAAAACAGAAAAAGAAAACATTAACAAAAAGGGCATCTGAATATAGTGAGCAACTTAAAGTTCTGACAGCAGAGAACATAATGCTCACTTCTAAACTGAAGGAAAATCAAGACAAAGAAATACTGAAGACAGAAATTGAATCATATCATGCTAGACTGGCTTTTGCTATACAAGACCATGATCAAAGTGTGGCTTCAAGCATAAAACAAGAATTTACTTTCCATGCTTCAGGAGATGCTCATTTGCAAGGAAAAATGAATGTTGATGTGAATAATATAATATATAACAATGAGATGCCTCATGAACCACTTTCTGAAGTTCAAAGTAAATCCGAAAGCCTAAAAATGACCAATTATGCAGGAGATGCTGTAAGAGAAAATACATTGGTTTTAGAACATGTGCAAAGAGACCTAAGTGAAATACAGTGTCAAATAAAGAAAGCCAAATACATATATAAAAATGAAGAAGGTAATGTGCATACACACACTGAACAGCAGGAGTCTCTGGAGCAGAGATTACTTCAACTAGAAAGCAAAAATATGTGGCTTCAACAGCAATTAGTTCATGCACGTAAGAAAGCTAATAACAAAAGCAATATAACAATTAATATTAGGTTCCTTGAGAGGAAAAAGCAACATCATCTCCTAAAAGAGAAAAATGAGGAGATATTTAATGACTGTAACCATTTAAAAGAACGTATATATCAATATGAAAAAGAGAAAGCAGAAAGAAAAGTAAGTATCAAAAATATAAATTTTTTTAATATTCCTGAAAAAAATTAAAAGCCATATTTGGCTGTGGCTAAATGCCGAGTTTAGTTGGATAGATGGATATGTAGGTAGGTAAGTAGGTTAGGTAGGTAGATAGGTGATAAATGTATTTACTTTATCAGGTTAGAAGCATACCTTATTTCTACCAAATGAAAGTTAAAGCTGAGAGATGTTTTACTTTGAGTAAGACATAATGTCACTTACAAAATGTTGAGTTAAAGATTTTTAATAGATTAACATTAATGACATTGGCTTATACTGCTGAAATAAAAGTTTTAATGTCTCTTTGTGGCACATTTTGTGAACACAATGAAGCAGTTAAAAGGGAATGTCCATGAAGTAAATTTTGAAATTTACTTTTCTGCATCTTTTAATAATACTTTTTAAATAGCTTTTCTATATTTTAGCTGGTAGAATTTTATTTTCATTCGTGAAGTATTGACTTAAATCTGAACATATTTGAGTCTCAAATTATGTATTGTTATGACCACTCAGTTTTTAAAGGCATCTTCGTTTTATTAAATAATACCTTAGTATTAATATACTGAATTTTAGCAATATCAAATTTGAATTAATCATCCCACTGGTATTTATAATTTAGTTTGAATATTGTTACAAATAATTTGCCCATAATTTCTATTTCAAGGCTTAAAGACTATCAGGTGGATAGAACTTTGTCCTAGGGAAAGATTATTGTAACTATCCGTGATTTATTAGCTTTGCATTCGATTCCCATTTTCAATTCATATATTTCAATACATGTAGAGTTCATGTATGGTACAAAAAAGTGAGTGGAGGAGAAAAACATAGCAGCTGAGGTCAGGAGGGATGTGGAGAGCAGGTTACCTAGGGCTTCTAAAGCCTTTGAAATAAAAATACTTTTATTCTGAGATAGAAATCTACTGAAAAAATTTCGGCAGGTGATTGAATATGTGAGGAACTTTAATGTTGATCTGTGCTTCTAATAAAAAGAAGGAAAGCATTCCACTGTGTAGAATTTACCACCACTAGTCCTGCCCACATATTTTTTTGAGACTTCAGTAGGTTGTGAAGCATTACAGATTCGTTAGGGGACAAATGACTAGTGGGATGAATCTGGTGTCTAGAAAGAGATTACCAGTTTGGCAGGAAGATAACGCCTTCTTGTGTCCTTAAGCGGATTAGTAATAAGCAGGAATCTGTATGTATAAAAGAAATAAGGTGAATCAATATATTTAGGGATATTTTTGAAAGTAAATATTATTAATTTGATAAGATAATTTATAAAATTAATAACAAACATGTCTTGTCAGGTCATTGTAAGACAACTTCAAAAAAAATTGTCTGATCTCAATAAACAGTGCGTGTCTGAGGCTTCACTAGAGGTTACATCACATTGTCATATGAATCTCCAAGATGAGATACAGGATTCAATGAAGAATTTATTTCAAATCAAAAGTCAAGTATGTATTAAATGTAACATGCCAACAGTGAACCTATAGCTGGTTAAATAATATAAATTGTTTTATGATACTAATTTCCATGGGAATTCTTCTGTTATATGTTCATTATAATTAGTTTCATTAAATTTTATCTTTATAATGTGTTTATTTTTAAAACTGTGGCTGTATTCTGCAATATTTTTATAATTACATTTTTTCCTATAATATTTACCCTTGAGAAGGTTAAGAATTATACATCATTTATCCCACAAACTGAGAGACTATTCTTGGGATAAACAGTATTTTTCAGTGATTTGTGTTACCATGGTGAAGCAAGATGTATTTAATCAGGGAAGAATGTTTAATGGAATATTCCAGAAAATTATCTTATTTGTTAGCTCCACTTTTGTGAATGGATGCCAAGGACATTATACTATTCTCCAAAATGCAAATGTTTAGGTTAATATACATAGTATTTGAATAGCTAGGCAATATTTTAATTTTTTAAACATATTGTTTGAACATTCAGATATTTAGATCATATATAGTAAGCATATTCACAATGGAAAATAAAAAATTATTTTGATACTGCCATTGGATGTTTTAAAAAGAAGTTTATTGGAATAAAATTCACGTATCATAGAGTTCATCCACTTAAATTGTACAACTCAATGTCTCTTAATACCTTCACAGTATTGTATAACCAGCACCACAAACAATTTCAGGACATTTGCATCACCCTAAAGAGAAACATCACATCCCTTAGTCATCACAGCCACCCACCTCCATGTTTCTTCACCTCCCCTTGTCCTAGGCAACCATCATCTAATTTTTGTCTTTATAGATCTGTCTGTTCTGAACATTTCATAGAAATGGAGCCATACAATTTGTAGTGTTTTATGAGTGACTTCTCTCACTTAGCATAATGTTTTTAAGGTTCATCTATTTGGTAGTACATATCAGTACTTCATTTTTATTTAATAATATTCTATTGCATGGTTACAGCTGCTATTAATTCATCAGCTGATAGAACTTTATGTTGTTTCTACTTTTGCCTATTATGAATAATGCTGCTATGAGCATTCATTTACAAGTTATTGTGTGGACCTGTGTTTTTACTTCTCTGCCACTCTGTTTTATATTTAGTTAATTGGGCCAACTTTCTTATCTCTCTGCCTTCCTCATGCTATTCTTGCATTTTCAGTTTTTGTTCATCTATCCTCATTTATTCAGAGTTGGTGCACAAATTTTCCCTTTTCATGAAGCTTTGTCTGACTGTTCTGACTTTTATTTACTTTATGCTTCAGGACACATTTTCTAGTTGATACAGAACAATTTAACTTTCAATTTTACATTGCTTTATTTTCTCATGAGACATAACCTTATCTTATTATAATTTGCCTAAGCAGGTAATAATATCTGGCATACAAGCTACCCGTTATTGTGTAAATTGAAAATATTCTATTGTACCAGTTGTTACAACACAATTAAATACATTATACTGATAATTTATATTTTTAGACATTGACATAATAAAGTTTTATTTAAAATATATTTTAATAAACGTAAAACATAAACCACTCTAATAGAGAATGGTTCTAATCCATACTCATATTTTTTCTGACTATTGAGAAAAATTATTTCTGCATTTAAAAAGTTTCAGATTTTGAAGCTTCCGATTTTAGAATAGGGATTTTCAACTGACAGTACAGGTTCTCCTGTGGTGTTGCATCTTGATAAACCCATTATAAATTGAGAATATTGAGAATGAGAAACATAGAAAACATAAACTTTATCTAAATAAAAATGTTTAATAGAAATAGGAGAATCAAAAAACTATAAAAGAATGCTTACAGAGAATGAGCATGGCTCTTGCTGAAGTTAGTTGAGAATCAGAAATGTTATGAGGACCAAATGAGAGTTTTCAAAACATTATCTTATTTAGATATGAATGAACAAACCTGAAATATTGTGAACTACTGATGACAATGCTTTGAGGGCATCTTTGGAAACAAAAATGTAAATGTAACTATTTTTTTAACTTATTATTAGGATTTAGTATTTTATGTTTAAACACTTTTTTACCAAATAAATTTTGGCAGTTTAAATTCTGCAAATGAAACTAATAAAAGTATAAATCATTGGGCTGTTTTTAAAAAAGTTGTGTTTTCAATCTGTCATTATTGGAATACAGTGTATACACTGCATGTTATAAAACAGTTTACACACATATAACTCATGAACTCAAGAGAAATAATATTCTTAGGAAAGAAGAGTGTCTCTAGATTTTTAACAATAATTTTCTTTAATGTTTTTAAAGTCTAAAGACAGAAAAGAGAAATTAAGCAAATGTTTCAAGTTAACGCAATCTCTGGAGCATAATTTGGATCAAGAAATAAAGAAAAAATGAATTAGGAAAAGAAATAACTGGATAAGATTCAACATTTTAGAACTTTAAAAATATTTATTAACTATAATTTCAATAAATTTATTAAAACTGAAATAGACATCCGACCTATATCTGCATTTTTATAATTAAACAAATTATTCTATTTAAAATATTTTCGGAGTCACAGCACAACCTGAAACATTTTTTAAATACCTAAATATAACACTTATTCTTTAATGATTTTGAAAGTAAGGACAATGCCTTTGGCATATAATGTCAACTACGTTCTTCATTGTCTACTATGAATTTTTGTTTCTGAAGATATTTTTGTTTGTATTTGGTAATATTCCTCTTGGTAGTGTGCTTATGTGCTATCCTTTAATATCTAAAAATCTGTGTTTGTTATTTTTGAACACCATCAAAAATTATCTTAACTTTTCTTTTTATTTGACTTTTTTTAGCTTTTAAAAATATTATGGATATGTACTTATTTTCTACCAGTACCTCCCATGCATATGTGAGATACATATATCAATAAACTGTTGTTTTTGATATACACACATATGTGTACATATACACATATATTATATTTATATATGTGTATGTTATGATAAAAATAAGCATGACTTTAAAAAGAGTAAAATTAGTAATTTTGTTTCTACCACCCAAATTAAAAATGGAATTTTCCTCAGTGGCTTTGAAGCCCCCAACATGGCTACTTTTCTATTTGCTGAGAACTTTAATTTGTTCTCTGATTCCAATTAATATTTTGTTCTCATTATCTTTCTCTGCATGGTTTGGATCCCTTTCATTTTTTTAGCACTGTCCTAGCACAAATCTTTAGAACCCTTCTTAAAACAGTCTTTAAGTCTTCACATGATCTCTCTTCTGATTTCCTTTCTTCTAAAACTATGCCTCCATCCTGGGTGACAGAGCGAGACTCTGTCTCAAAAGAAAAAAAGAAATGATTTTTGGTAGAGATGGATTCTATGTTGCCCCGGCTATGCCTCTTTCCTCGTCCTTCCTTAACTCAGACTGTTTTCTTTTCTAATTTTCTCCTTCGAATAATCTTCTTGATAGTTGTGCATGTGTGTGTGTGTGTGTGTGTGTGTGTGCTCTTTTTTTCTTATAGGCTGTGATCAAAAGGCATCAAAATATATTTTTGTGTCTTTGGCAAACATTCATATATAAATATGCTTTTTCCCCTTTGATGCTGGTCTCAGAGTGAAAACTCATATTTAATATGTGTTTTATATTAACATATTAGGTTGGTGCAAAAGTCATCATGGCTCAAAAACCATGGCTTTTGCCCCAACCAAATACTAAAATGAATATTAATAGTTTATTTATGAAAACTCTATATATGGTTTTAATATCAATCCTTTATCTGTCATATATGTTGTAAAATTTTCTTCATATTACTTACATAAAACTAAGTTTGGTTTGAATGTTTTCAAACTATGTTACCTTGAAACAAATGAGAGAGGATCATAATTTATTGATTGGTTTCTTTGTAGATTAGAATGTGTTTATTTAAGAAATTATTAAATATTATTCTGAAACATTTTAGTCATTCTGTACATTTCTGCAGAAATAAGAATGTTTTAGAAATTACAGAAAAGGAGTTAAAGGAATGTTAAAATGAAGAGCTTAATTTCTATGGAGATTTTAAAACCAGTCTACTTGAAATGGATATTCAGATGAATAAACTAACACATAATGCACTTTTTGAAATTTGTACTTTAGGTTCTGGGGTACATGTGCAGATCATGCAGGATTGTTGCATAGGTACATACACGGCAAGGTGGTTTGCTGCCTCCATCCCCCGTCACCTCTATCTGGCATTTCTCCCCTTGTAGTCCCTCCCCAACCTCCCGACCTCCCATTGTCCCTCCCTTAGCCCCACCCAACAGACCCCAGTGTGTGTTGCTCCCCTCCCTGTGTTCATGTGTTCTCATTGTTCAGCAACCACCTAAGAGCAAGAACATGTGGTATTTGGTTTTCTGTCCCTGTGTCAATTTGCTGAGAATGATCGTTTCCAGATATCCATCTCCCTACAAAGAACATGAACCCATCCATTTTATGGGTGCATAGTGTTCCATGGGGTATATGTGCAACATTTTCTTTATCCAGTCTATCATTGATGGGTTGATTCCAGGTCTTTGCTACTATAAACGGTGCTGCAATGAATACATATGTATATGTCTTTATAATGGAAGTATTTATAATCCTTTGGGTTAATAGTAATGGGATTGCCAGGTCAAATGGAATTTCTATTTCTAGATCCTTGAGTAATTGCCACACCGTCTTCCCCAATGGTTGAACTAATTTACATTTCCACCAACAGTGTAAAAGTGATCCTTTTTCTCCACATCCTCTCCAGCACTTTTTAATGATTTTTTAAAGATCTCCATTCTAACTGGTGTGAGATGGTATCTCAATGTGGTTTTGATTTGTATTTCTCTGATGATGAGTGGCGATGAACATATTTTCATATGTTTGTTGGACTCGTAAATGTCTTCTTTTGAAAGCTGTCTGTTCATATCCTTCCCTCACTTTTGAATGGGTCTTTTTTTTCTTGTAAATCTGCATTGGTTCTTTGTAGATTCTGGATTTTGGGCCTTTGTCAGATGAGTAGATTGCAATTTTTTCCCCATTCTGTTGGTTGCCAGTTCACTGTAATGATTGTTTCTTTTGCTGTGCAGAA